GTTGATATGGTCATATTCTGAGGATAGTGTAAAAGAGATTCACTACACTGATGACATTATAACATACAAAAGATTGACTGCACACTGATGATATCATTACAGATTTACAGTAAACTGATGATATCATTGCAGGTTTACAGTAAACTGATGATATCATTGCAGATTTACAGTAAACTGATGATATCATTGCAGATTTACAGTAAACTGATGATATCATTGCAGATTTACAGTAAACTGATGATATCATTGCAGATTTACAGTAAACTGATGATATATATTGCAGATTTACAGTAAGCTGATGATATCATTGCAGATTCACAGTAAACTAATGATATCATTACAGATTTACAGTAAACTGATGATATCAATACAGATTTACAGTAAATTGTTGATATCATTACAGATTTACAGTAAATTGTTGATATCAATACAGATTTACCGTAAACTGATGATATCATTCATTGCAGATTTACAGTGCATCGATTACATTGTCAGATATTTACAATTTTAGCATAACTGCAGAGTACAGCATATAGACTTACGGCGTAGGGATAGCATTTACAACATACATAATCTTTTACAACAGAATTACAGCATACTAATCATTCTGCAGTTTTACAAACACTTTTTAATAACATTATAAAGGATAATTTAAAGTTTTCTTCAAAAATCTTCAGCTTCACGGTGAAATGGTTTCTGTTCATTTGATGGTCTCAGATGTGCCATATGACTTCGAATTGGATCATAATTGAAAAAGTTAAGCCAATCAATCGCCATTTCCAAGTAAAATAACAAAATAGAGTCTAATGTGATAAAGCATTTCGTCAAATCAAGTTTGTATGAAAATAAAAAATTGAAATAAGACTAATACATTTCTACTTCTAGTTACCAGCAATTGCTGCATTTTGATTATGTACATATTTGTTGTTTTCCTGTCATCTATTCTCTAACTGTTGTTCCTTGGTTAAATTTCGTCTAACTGGTAAACATACACGCATTTGTTATGCATCAAAAGTTTGAACTCGGTCTTAATGAAAAAGGGGGAAGATAACGAACAGCTAGTGATATACGTAGCTCAACAAATACTTCCATTCAGACATTACAAATCTGTGAACTTGAAATGATTTCCAGAGGTGGGATCAGGTGCCTGGTAAGAGTAAGCACCCCCAATTGACCAGCACACCCGCCATACAAAATGATCCATTGGGATGCGATCCATCATAAGGTCTTTTGTCTGGTTCCCATATAAAGAGGAGCTATATCTTGTTCTCATATCTTTAAAATGACTAGAGATAGTTAAACACAAGAAGCTAGAGATATGGATTATAATTCATGCGTTTACCCCCAACTCAAATGAAAGCTAAGAAATATGTCAAAATTACACAGGAACGATAAATTGCAAACGAATTTACTCTTTTATACATTGTTTAAGAAGGTTTTAAGATTTTTATTGCAATAATGCTGTTAATCAATAACAAAGCACATGAAGTGCCCTTTCTGATATATTTTGTTTTATCAGTATAATACATGTATAGCTTGCCCCCCCCCGGGGGGGAATTGTTAAAACTACATTTCTTCAGCCCCAGCTTACTTGTCTGGCTTGAAGCTGATCAGAAGCGTACACAGTTCTGTTGTAACATCGATACAAAAGAGTAATCTTTTTTAATCTTATATCAATATCAGTGAATGTCTATCCAAACATTACCGAAGGACTAATATATTTACTTTATTCACATAATTACAAAACTAAATCAATTTTTGGTGCTGTTCCCAGATAGGACATCCCGGGCTGCTGTAGTTCAAGCAGGCGATGTTAATCATCGCTAATGGTAGGTATTGGGCATCCCATCTCATTCACTTGATTGATATTTACAAACCACTCCCCGGAGAAATTACGATCATTTTACATATACCGAACATCATATAATTATAATTATTGCTGTAGATGTGAACGAAATGACATGGGGTTTGATTGGAAATGCGAGTTGATATTTTTGCTCCTATGTGTTGTTTGCTAGAGGAAATTTTCACTTGTGAGTACATTTCATTATGATTATTTTATTCATTTCAGACATCTGGTTTTAATGTCGGTTGCATAATATTTTTTCCTCACTTATTAAGAGTATTCATATATTACATTTTTTTGTAGATTCTTCGGATGTCAACTCTAAACTCTCTCTTACTAAAAGCAATTTAATTAACATATTTATGTTATCTTGTTTAAGTGATAGCAAAGGATTACGATATAAATATAACATGTAGCAAGAGAAAACATTATGCTATAAAATAAAATATTGTTTATTGGAAAATTTTACACTCTCTAAATGAAAAAAGAAATGCATGTTAAATTCTAATCTCATGAGGTGCCTGAAGCTTAAAAACGTACAGCTTATAATATATATTGAGCTCAAATAATGACAAAGAGACAATACTAGTATCATAAAGTTATCAAAACTTTGAAGGCGACGTTTAAATCATAAATATCTATATTTTCACTAACTCGGAACAGTGCCAATGCCCTTTGCTACCATACATAATGAGACAAGGGCTTATGTATAATGCTATTTGACCAGCATGCTAATGCACCTTTGAGCAGTGGGCTAATGCGCCTTTGAGCAGTGAGGGATCTTTTCCCCTCTTCAATATAGGCTTTTGTATGGTATTTGAAAGGCATAGGCAGGGATACCACCTACCTTTCCAGCTAAACATGACGTCATAAAAAACCGCCTTTTACGAAGAAATTCTTAGAGTATAAGGAGTTATCCTTGCCTCGCATGGTCGAATCCCACTTCGGAACATGGAGACCGGTCCTTTGGATGAGAACGTATAAACAAACATCCCGTGTCGCAGTAGGTATTTGCAAGAAAAGGATCCCTCAGTGCTCAAAGGTCCTCATTCTGAATTTGCAACCCTATTTCGGCAAATGTTGGCCTCTCAAATTGAGTGAAAATTTTTCTAATGGACGTTAAACAAACGAGGCAATATCGGATTCATTAGTGATTTTTGATAAGGTTTAAAATTCTAAAAATGTACATCAAAACTATGTAATTTTCTTTTCTTAAATTATCCTTTGTCACTTGAAACACTATTTTGAGAGCAACTTCTCTGTTGTTCCTCTGACAGGGGGAGAAGTGCTTCTGCTTAGGTCTCATTGGTCATTCTTACAATGGAAAAGTCTGCAGTGTCGTCTGGTGTTCGACAAAATTCAAATCGGTTCTGTTCTTAAGAAAGTTTTATCCTTCTTTTATCTGTTAATCTATTTTATTTAAACAGTACTAGTATGTGTTCATCCAGTAAAAAGTATTGAATGTCTTGGTTTTTTAACATTTAAAAAAAAAATGCTGTCTAGGACTGTTCGCATATGAAATAAGGCCATGTATTTAAATAAGGTTCTGAAATATCTGTAAAATGTTCACAAGCGAAACACTAAAACATTTTTTTTTTTGGTTTTTGAAAATTAGTTTCTAAATTGGCGTGGGCGAGGAAAGCGCGTTTCCTAGATGGTTGTTATGGTAACAAGTGAGTAGAGACCGTGCGGACAGATCTTGATAAGATGAGACTGGTTTCCGTCTAGCGTTTGTTGACTGGGTCTAAGAATCATTTCCCGTCAATGTCGGAATTTTTCAAATCGATGAAATACAAATCACCTTGTAAATTGAGCCAAAATCACCTCTAAAAGCGAGGCGACATAATCACCGAACGTGGGAGATATACCAGCCACTGGCAACACGGTTTGACAGGGGGCGCAGTCTTGAACGGAAGTATGATGACGTCATAATAATTTATATGTTTTCTATTTTAAAATTAAATTAATTCTTTGTGTGTGTTGTGTTTGATTGTATTTAAATTCTCAAATGTCTATATGAGATACAAAGTTGATTTTACTGTGGCATTGAAGCAGAAATTTTCTGACCACGTGCCATTTCCTTGGAAAACATCGTTGATTTACGAGTCAAAATCTACAATACAATTTTATTGTAGTTTTAAGATTGTATATCTATTAATTCAAAGGTAGCTACAGATCTGTAGCTCTCCGAAAAAATATATACTGATAGACCGGAGACGGTCTATCAATAATTTTTTTTCGGAGAGCTACGATCTGCAGCTAATTCAAAGGATCCCTTTAAAATAAAATTGTTTTTAACATACATAATTAGACATTTTAAGGTGATATAAGAACAGAATTCGTTGTTCGCGGCTTTATGGTACTAATGTCTCTGGCGTTTTTTCACCGTGTTTCGCACAAATTGAGAGTGAAAGCTTTAGACAAGAAAATTACAGGAACGGATTACATAATAACAAAGGATCACAGTTATTCTGGAACTAAATAGGTTTCTGGGTTTTTGTTTTTTTTTGCACTCATGTTAGATGTATATGCTTTGTAAAGAATATTCAAGCGTCGTGTCAGCTCGGGTCTGGGTTGCGTTTGGTACAATACAGCTTGGTTAAAGTTTACTTTATACCATGCATGACGAGTATGTTTTATTTTGCTCCGTTAATGTCTTGGCGTGAATCAAGTAACATCGATTTCTCTTCTTGTTATGCAAGTGGTCTCGCTTTCTGTGGCTTACGTCAAGTGTTTAGGTGAAAATCTCGCACGCTGTAAAATGTTGCATTCGTAATGTTTACGATGATATTTATTATCGATTTTTCTTTCTCTTTGTCATGCTGGGAATCTATAAACTAACGATAGATTTTTAGATACATACGCGTAGATTTTAAAGATTTTATATAATTGTTGTAAGAGATATGCCTAATCCGTAACAGTGAATGTTTCGTTCGTATTAAGATTTAGGCCAATCACTGCCATCGTAGCAAACCGAAGTCTTAACCACTACTCAGCAAGACTGTTTTGTTGAACACGATCCTTCCCCCAAATTTTAATTGATAAACCTTTCATACGTGTGTTTATTATCTCATCTAATCCACAAATTACTTTTATACACGTATTATTTTATCGCTGCCAAGTCCATGTTGTTCGTGATAGATCTGTATCTCTCAAATTGCTGAGAATGAAGACGGGCATGCGTATATCGGGGTAGTCGCGTTTCCCTGCTGAGACAACTATATTAATTAGAGTGCAACACTGATAAACCGGAAAATCTTTTGTTTCAGTGGCAGCATTTTTTAGAAATTACATTGTTACAAGGGACAATATACTTCAATAAAAACAGTGTATATAAAAACCACTGGTCTGCCGATGTAGCGAAAAATAACTAATGACTAGAAATCGATATACCATGATGCGTGTGTTACTAACTCCCCATCACGAATGCGAAGTGGAGGCCTGTGGCCGTGTTTCTACTGTTTACACATTCAATGGGACCTGTTTCAGGTCATAAATCGAAGGAAATGCATAACTTCCTATTCTAGTGCAGCTTCAGATTTCTGCGACAAAATTATTGTTTATTCTGGGTGATTATTAACATCGATCAATCTATAACGGGAACAAACGACTGACGTCTACCTGTTTACCTTGTGTTTTTTTTAAATTTACACCAGGATGTTTTGATTTCTTTGTGAGTAGTGTATGACATCATCGTCTATCTCATATTGATGTCAGCTCACTGTTAGTTCTAACCTAATTCCAGTTGTTTTGAAGATGTAGATATTGCGTAAGCATGACATGTGGTATTTAATATCTTGCGGGTCTGGGTATCCGATGAGATGCCTTAATCAGATTTGTTGATGTTCTTTACAGGTCTGGGTCCCAGGGACACGACGGGGAGTCGGCAGCTTCATTAGTCCATCGAGTGTCATCACGCCGGAAGCGGGAATCCAATGTTAGTGTGGACCATTTCTCTGTCCGGAGACCCCGTGACAGTCTGAAACCTGAAGTAAAGATAGCTCCAAACCCTACCATCACGTCATATCCGCCGGCAAGCACTGGCACCTCAGATGCCGAGAGCTCGCCGCTCATCATGGGTGTGCAAGGTGGAGAGACGGGCGATAGTCCGGGACGGTATTATCCAGATGATAAGGAGGGCGGTCCCCCGGACAGTGAAGCCATCATGAGGAGCAAAAGGGTCTCCAAACGGGTGGTGCTAAATGTTGGTGGTGTAAAGCACGAGGTAATGTGGAGGACGTTAGATCGCATGCCACACACACGACTGGGGAAGTTACGCTCTTGTAACACTCACGAAAGTTTACTGGAAATCTGTGATGATTATTCTCTGGAATGTAATGAATATTTCTTTGACCGACACCCAAGGTCTTTTTCTTCCATTTTAAACTTCTATCGTACGGGTAAATTACACTTAGTGGAGGAGATGTGTGTGTTGTCTTTCAGTGATGATTTGGAATACTGGAATATAGACGAATTGTACTTAGAGTCGTGTTGTCAACACAAATACCACCAAAGGAAGGAACACGTGTACGAAGAAATACGTAAAGAGGCAGAAAGTCTGAGACAACGAGAATCCGACGAGGACTTTGGAAATGGCATGTGTGCAAAATGGAGGAAAAAAGTCTGGGACTTGCTTGAGAAGCCCCAATCTTCTATGGCTGCTAGGGTGGGTATTCTTTGTTGTAAGTGGAGACCTTTATCTCCCTTTTCTGGTATTTCTGTGTTTATTATTTTGACACTGTAATTAACTATCTTTCTCGTAATGCGTTTACTGGTGATAAACAGATGCTGAGATAGGCCCCTGTTATTTGACACCTCAACACTCTCAATCTGTTAACGAATGATAACACTCCAAGCAGGGAGTCTGTCCATCACATATAAACCAGTTGTTCTCTAATTCCTTTCTTTATTGTAAATAGTATTAATTCTTTTAAAAGAAATCGATCAAAAATCCCCATTGTTACTTATACAGTCGATAGAACAAAAACACAATAAAAGCCCTGAAATATTTTAAGAAAAGTTCTGATGAATGCTTCAAACTACGCGTAGGAGGGAAGAGCTATAAGAATCTTATTAATTGAGATGGTTAATGTGTAAGTTCACTGTATAATGATGGGGAATGGCGAGAGCAGGTTCTCTGGGGGTCAGACGGTGATGTAGGGAACTTAGAAAATTGTCATTCCTCCATGGCTCCCTGTCAGAAAAATCCAGTTGCAAATTAACCAATTAGCTGTGTATTGGAAACAAATTGTGGGCCGGAATTTACTTTTGGGATGATCTGGAACTCTGTGTAATGGGGGTTTATTTCCCTAGCTAGAAGAACATACTCACTGAAATTGGCCATCTTGTAAAGAAGATTGCTGGGCATGTGAATTATTGAACCCTGTTGCTCGGCTATGGTTTCTGTTCGTGATTTATTTTGCTACGTTTATTAATTTGCGATTGAAATATGTTCTGGCATAATTGAAATCAATACAACTGTAACCTTCTTTTTTTCTTTCTCCATGTAGCAATTTTCTTAACTTTCTAGATATTATCTGATAAAAATGAGAGTATTTGCCTTTAGTTAAGGGAAATTAGGAATGATTGTTATATAATTCATTTCCCAAGATAACTCATTTCATGGAAAATATTTTCATCTTAATTCAAGTAAAACTAATGAGATCCACGCTATCCGTCTTTTGGCAGATTTTCCAAAGAAAAGAATTTTGTTTAAGACATTTTGAAGGGCGAAGCACATTTGCTTTGTTGTGATAATTATTTTTGCACGTGTTTATGATTTTTCTTGCCCGAATTACCTCCACTAGACTCCCCCACTTGTTTATGTTATCGTTTCACGGTTAAACAGCAGTAGCATAAAATAGCTGTAGGCAGATGGCACTTATTTCCATCCTCTCTCGCTCGGCTCTCCTGCTTGGGATTCTGTTTTTATGGTCGTCCTGTCTTAGATGATCGATTTCTTTCTATTGTTTTTATCTGAGAATGTATGAGAGGAAACTTAGGTTTTTACCTTTTTTCTAAATTTAAAGATGCAATCATAAAATGCATTCATCGTCTAATTTCAGCATTGATTTGAGATATACGCGAAGAGCTTTTTAAACACAAACTTTTTATTTTCTAAATTCGTAAATGCAAGCCTATTAAAAAAGAAATAAATAACCTTTATTACCAGAACTGATAGATAAAATAAATCTTACTTTAAAGTTAAATGAATTTTAGCTAGATTTTCATTGGAAGAAGATAAAAATTTATTATTTCTTTTCGTTGTAAACACTTTTCTAAAGCTAAGTTATGTGCGTGGGTGTAGGCTTGCCTTCACGTCTGGGTTACCGTAGTGCTCATCAGTGGAATAAGTCTGACAGTTGTAAAGTTCCAGACGTATTACCAAGATAACGGCTCGTTGTGACTTCAGAATAGGTGTCAGTCTGAGAATGACCTGTAGCGCCCTGCTACTCGGTACTCTTTGCCCTTTAGTTTAAAATTTCTTTCTTTCTTTTGTTTTATAAAATCACCACACACTAATACATGTTTCCAAAATACTTGTAAATGATAAAAACACTTGTCTTTGTGGCATGACATTTCTTAGGTGAGGTAAAAATGAAACAAAATTGTTGCAACTTACAGCCAATAAAACACTTGTCTTTGTGGCATGACATTTCTTTATGTGGGATAAAAAAGAAAAATAAAGGGGAAGAACCTATTAAAATTGCACCTTCCAAGGGGGGGGACAAAATCGTTGACCATGTGATTCTGGTACTTTTTCTAATATTAAAAATAACCAGTATGCCCCGTCCTGCCTCAATGAAACCCGGAAATTCTACAACCTCTCTCATACCTTTAAAGTCTGTAGATTCCATTTACTTAACTTCGATATGTTTCATCCACTTGGACTTTATTTCTCTGTATTTTAATATGCAAACAATCTACTACAAATGCAAATGTACATTGCATTGATTGCACTGAGGGGTTTGTTGTTGTGCCTTTGAATGATAGAGTACTTCTTCTTCGGTTTTGATCTTTTTCACTGTTATTTACACTCCAGCCAATGTTAAGCATATGTAGTTTAAATTCATTGGCATAACTGTTCATATTAACAAGAAATCATAGTCAGAAATCAGAAAACTGACATCAATGCTTGGTATTTCACTGTGTCAATGTAAAAGTACATGTATAGAATTTACACCCGCCAGCTGCAATACATTGGCCTATTACTGTAAAATGACATGGATTTTTTAATTTCACTGTGTTAAGAGTTTTTATTTTTCGGAATAAAAACAATATGCTCTAAAAATTACAATCCAAATATTCAGCAATTATAAGTGGATGCCCTCGTCTTGTTTCTGCAACACGATATTTGTTTACAAGCCAAGAATCATTGATACTCAAGTGGCGCTGGGTCTGTGTATATTTAGGAATGTATGAAAACGTTTTTGATACGGCACAGAAAAGATGTTATGAAGGATTTTTATGACTTATAACATTATCTGTTGCAACTCTGGTAATACAATCATAGCAGTTTTCAAAGCTTTCCTGTTTACCGTTCCTTGGAATAAGACGTTTACAGAACTTGTGGCCGCTATTGCCCTTTCCATGGCCGAGATTGAACATCATTAGGAGAGTTATTATATTACGTTAGGAGAGTAATAACTCTGTTACACCATTTCGCCTAAGAACTGGTAGCAGGAGTTATTATCACGTTACTGTTATATAATATATAGACAGCTATTTTGTCTACATAATCATGATGGTCGTATGTTATTTGGTTTCTGGCTTTGATAGGGGGAAGGAAGACATGTATTAGTACTTGTAGTATCTCAGACATCCAGTATTTTTATTCTTCACGACTTCTGTGATAAAAATTCTTCGTAGACAGCCTTCACTAGCAATACAGCGGGTATTCCGGTTTGTTAGCCTGAGAGAGAGGCCATCTGTGCTAAATGTCTTGGAATCCATTAGGATCAATGCTGGAAACACTGAAACTTAATTTGCAAAATCTCAGATTTTATTCAGCACAGTGTAAAATTATTGACGTTTTTGTTTCATGGGCAATTGGTTGGAGCATCATTCAGTCCGATTCACATAGAACTCATGCATCAAAACATTTTTAGAAACTTTAAAATTCGTTTGATCTGCAACATGAAGTTAAGATTTGTTTCTAACTTTTATTTTCTTTTTTTAAATGGTCAAGCAGTTTGTACAAACTGATTTAGATTTGTTTCCCCGTAAAGCACCTCGTCAAACCTTAAACCTTAAAGGAAATTCAATGTAACGACAGCTGAGGTTGAGATTTAAATCTCTGATATACTTTTTTTTCAAATATAGGGTAACAATTTAACTTTTAATCAAGTTTAAACAAAACTCTTTACAAAAATTCATAAAGCTAAAACAACTGCAGATTTCGGATTGAAATCTATACTAGCTTTATCAATCTGGCATCATTGTTATCCTGGAAGCTGCATTTTGTAACTTCCTTCTTTAATTATAGATTCTTATTATATATGAACAGAATACCTTGTGTTTTCATCAGACAGGCTTTCGAAAATCAACACACATAATATACCAGATTTCTGATCAATACGCCATCATAAAGCAGCATGCTTGTCAAATTAATTTGGAGCGAGCAGAGATTTTATCTAACATTAATCAATTTGACTGTCAATGTTGTTTCATATTTTCTTTGAGACGTCCCAGTACATATCCTTTATTCAAAGGGATGAGTACTGAAAATTTAATTCCGTATTCCAACTAGTAAACCAAAACGCTGATGTTCCTAAGCTCATGGAGAAGGGTACCATTTCTCAATTGCATGTCAAACTCCCTAGCTCGTAGTCAAAAGGTCGAAATTGTTAGTAACACGGTACATAAGGAAAGGTCTTGTCTGAAGGAATACATCTGAGAAATATGAGTGTCTCTGCAATAACGTTTCAAAAGTAGATAAACTCAAAGGCCATGGTCAAACTAAAATGTCATGGTTAAAAGGTCAAAATGTTTGATTGAGAGAACGGTCATAGGCATTTTTGCATGTTGTTCAATCCATTTCATCAATTTGGATAAACATATTTTAAACCAAAATGTTTTTTACCCAAAGAAAGCTCTTGTCTGTTCACCATATGGAAATACGTTGCAATATGTATATGTGAAATGCGAGAGCCGTAGATTCAGCCATTTAAATAAATAAGGTAAAATGGTAAATGTTAATTTTTTCAAGAGATGGCCGAGATCAATGTCAAAATTGGTTTCCAAAAAAAAGTTCTCGTCAGACGAAAAAAAAAAATACAAAATATGAAAGCACTAGCTTTAACAAGTCAAAACTCATGACCAAGATAAAAATATTTCAAAAAGTGTGTTAAACTCTCATGTCACAAGGTCAAATCTTTTGGCACCTATAAAAGTTTTTGACACAAGGAATATACATGTGAAATATGTCAGCACAAAATATTTAAAACTAATCTTGCTTATGACTAAGGTTTAAATTTTTCTAAAGGAAGATATTCTCCAAGTTCAATAGATTAAAATTAGTACTTTCCAAAGAAAGTTTTTGTCAAAAGAAATAAATTTGAAATATTGAACTCCTAGTACCAATCGTTCAATGTCTTGACAAAGGTTGAGGTTTGGTAAGAGAAAAGAGGACCAAACAGCAAGGTCAAAGCCAAGAGGTCAAAGTCAAATATAATTGTATCCAAAGAAATTTCTTGTCACAGGGAAATCACTTGTAACGGTTGAAATCCCTAGCTCTGTGTCCAAATGATTTTCAGTAATAAACAAGATTTTGTTTTTGTGGGGTGACAGAGAGACAAAAGCAAAGAACAATTTGACCCTGAGTCTTCAGTTACGGGGGCATAAGGGGAACGTTATTTTTAAAATAAAGTACTTAAGGAAGTTAACTTGGACTTGTTTGTTTAACAACTACTGTAGACAAATCTTCTTTAACACCGTGCGTGACAAAAGATTTTGGATGCTTCAAAATTTCAATATTTTTTTCATATAAATATCAAATACAGTAATTGTGAGATTTGCCAATTTCTTAAAATTTTTAAAAACAGACGAATACTTTTTCTAAATTTTATAAAAAGATATAAATGTTTGTTTTAAAGCGTAAATTTACTATAATCAACTGCTGCTCAAAATATTGCGCAGTTCAAACCCCAGTCACCCGTAAAATCAATAACGAACCATCGGTAAATATTCTGAAACTAACAAAAATAAAAACCTAAGGTGAAGAAGAGTCGGATTTGATCAATGTGAAAATCATACGCCATGTTGTAAAGAATATCACTATATAGCAACTGTTACAAGTTCTTTTGTTTCATAGAATTGTTAATTACATTTCGTCAAGGACAAAGAAGCGGAAGATAATAACTATGTGCTAAAATATTGATATTAAATAATATGTTGTTTTTTCAATACTGAAATCGATTTAACGTAAACGGTGGAGAGAACGGACAATGATCGATCTAAAAAAACAACAAACAATACAAATATATAAAGAGGGCAAAAACACGGACTTCTGGGAATTCCAGAGGTGGGATCAGGGGCCTAGGGGGAGTAAGCGTCCCCTGCTGACCAGTCACGCCTACTGTGAGCCCTTTGTATATAGATAGACGGTTCAATCGCATTGCATTGTAAGAAAGGAAACTTTAAAGGGCAATAAAGGCGATGCTGATTACATTAGTATTTAAAATTCTCAATTTATATTTTTAGGAATTTTTTTTTAGGAAGCTTTCATATTTTTGTATTTTCATCGTCCAGAAAAAAACAAGAACATTTGAATAAAATGCAAAAAAGGATAAGCCAATGTGATAAAAGTGTGTGAATACAATTTCGATCATGTACATTCATAAGATTTTTAGCTCACTTCAACGAAGTTGGGGGAGCTTATTGTAATACCCTCGGCGTCGGCGTCCTGGGTTAAGGTTAAGTTTTTTGGAGCAGTTTTCTTTTTAAGTACTTCTATGTCCTATGATTAGACATGCATGGAAGATGTTTCTAGTGTGTTTCATTGTACCAGTCAAAGTTTCAGATGCTGCAATTTCAGCAAAGGAATGACCAGGTTAATGTTTTTGGAGCAGGTTAACATTTTTGAAGCAGTTTTTGGTGTAGGTCTCATTTCCGAGTAACTATAAGCCTATGTTGACCAAACTTGCATGGATGGTACATCTTAGGATGCACACTACCAGGCTTGCTTCGGATGCTGAATCTGACGCATGAGTGAACAGGTTAATGTGTTTGGTGCAGGTCTCATTTCCAAGTAACTATGAGCACTATAGTGATCAAACTTGCATGGATGATACAGCTAAGGATGCATATTACCAGACTTGCTTCGGATGCTGAATCTGACCTACATTTTCCGGTTGAGTGAACAGGTTAAATTTTTGGTGCAGGTTTCATTTCCAAGGTACTATGAGCCCTATAATGACCAAACTACAAATATATGGATGGTACATCTTAGGATGCATAAAACCAGACTTGCAAATATATCGGATGCTGAATCTGACCTACATTTTCCGGTTAAAAAAAGTGAACAGGTTAAAATTTTTGGTGCAGGTTTCATTTCCAAGTTACTATGAAGAACTATAGCCAATACAAATATATAAAGAGGGCTAAACTTGCATTGATGATACAAAAAGGATGCATATACCAGAATATATTCAGATGCTGAATCTGACCTACATTAAAAAAACGAGTGAACAGATTAAAGTTTTTGGTGCAGGATTCATTTCCAAGTTACTTTGAGCCCTATAATGACCAAACTTGGATGGTACATCTAGGGGTGCATTCTACTAGGCTAGCTTCGGATGCTGAATCTGACCTACATTTTCTGGATTAGTGAAAAGGTTAGTTTTTTATGCATGTTTCATTTCCAAGTAACTTTGAGCTCTATGTTGAGCAAACTTGCATGGATAATACATCTTAGGATACACACTAATGGACTTGCTTCAGATACTGAACAACGACATACATATTTCCAATGATAATGGACAACAAACAATAAAAGTATATGGGTGCAGGTCTATTACCAAGAAACTATAAACCCAACTTGCACAAATGATGCAACAAGGGATGAAAACTCTCGAACTTGCTTCAGATGCTGGATTTTAATTGCGTTTTCATGATGAAGAAGTAGTTTGAAGTTTTCATATAGGTCTATTCCAAAGTATCAAATCAAAATTGCATAAATTTTGCATTTTTGGATGTACACTTTTTGTTGGGTAATTGTGTGACTTTGTCTTACTTAAAGACAACATTCGTTGAGGTGAGCTCTGTAATCTCTGATTACCTATGTTTAAAGGATAAGATGTTTAGGAATCGTGTCTTGATACTAATAGAAAATTTAATTCTAGGATAAACTTTACAGCCAAGCAATGTATTTATATAGAATGGAACATTTGAGACAAATCTTAAGGTGTTTATACATAATTAATATAAATGTATTATATGTTTCCCGTTTTCTAGATAATGGCATTTTTGAAAGTTGAAAAACCTTGTATTTGAGATAAATTGCTCCAATGGAAAGAAATTCCTGGGAGACAAGGTTAACTGCAAAGAAAATGACAATTTTGGGATTTCATTTCAGACTCCATTTGAAAAATTTTGGGCCTACCTTGGCCAGGTATAGTACACAAAGCCTGTGTGTGTTACCACTTCCCTGAGAGCTCCGTATAATACCAAACGTATCGTACACAGATATGACAATACCACAAAAGAAGGCCAAATTTCAATGAGTTCTACCACAGCTTTCATTCTTGTAATGAATTGCAGGTTCGTTATGAAGTATATTTTGTGTAAGCTCGGTATTGTCATATCTCTGTACATATATTTGTAGCGGCTCACCCAACATTCACCATAACTAAAAAGATAAAGATTGATTTTGATCCAACTTGAAATATTTATAATAAGTAGCTGATTAAATGTATCTATATTCTTTTTTTCTTCTAACACATTCGGCTGTCACAAGCTCAGAATGTTTTCCTGCATAGTATGGCATTAAACAAAGGCTCACTTTTTATTTCGTTATATTGAGTATACATAATGCATGTCAATTTTTAGTTATTTTATAAAATGAGTATATTGCGTAGTTCGAAGGCTTTTTAGAGAGAAAAGATTCTGAATCAAATTTAATATTCTGAAGCCGCCTCTAGCTTGCTGATATAGTGTTAAGTTTTGTACCTATCCCTTGTTAATTGTTACTGGTTGATCGCATGTGATGATCTCTGTCTTATAGTAGGACACAACAGAAACTGAACTTAGAGTAGGTTTTAGACTGCATTGTTCTGAAAACTGTGAAATTAAATCTCCATTCAAAAATAATAAAAAAAATAATGTACAATTAATATTCCAGAATATCAAATGTTGTTCTCTTCGTAAATACTGTAATTTGTAACTCAGAATGACGTATTTTACATCATCTTTATCTGTACTGGTTCTCATCAGACACTATTGTTGTTGGTGTTCCTATACATTAATCTGCCATTGTTTACAACAAATACATGTACATTCCCAAGAATTTAACTTTTGTGAACTTGGAGGAAAGAGAAAAAAATCACAGTATTTTTCAGCGTACTCCTAAATCTTTTTGTTAATATTGTAAAGCATAAAAAATATGTAACTGCTGTTAGGTCGATATTTTGTATATACATGTATAATTCCCAATGAAGAATTTTGTACCACGTGATCATTAAACTGGTCTCCTTTCCTTTGCAGGTCTTAGCAATAGTGTCCGTACTGTTCATCGTTCTATCTACAGTCGCCCTCACTTTGAACACCATTCCCAGCCTCAACGAGGATAGCGAGGCCTCCAACGATCTGGAAATCATCGAGGCTGTGTGTATATGCTGGTTCACCTTAGAATACCTAGGAAGATTCTGGGCGTCTCCTAATAAGTGGAAATTCTTCAAAGGTCCCTTAAATATCATTGACTTATTAGCCATCTTGCCGTATTTCATCAGTTTAGGGTTGACGGAAACTAACAGACATACGACAGAACAGTTTCAGAACGTTCGTAGGGTAGTACAGATTTTTAGAATTATGCGAATTTTACGAATTTTAAAACTTGCGCGCCATTCAACAGGTTTGCAGTCGTTAGGATACACACTGCAAAGGAGTTACAAGGAACTAGGTCTTTTATTAATGTTTTTAGCTATTACTGTGTTATTGTTTTCAAGCTTGGCTTATTTTGCCGAGAAAGATGTAGATAAAACGAAATTCAAAAGTATTCCCGAGACCTTCTGGTGGGCTGCTATCACCATGACAACCGTAGGATACGGTGATATTTATCCAATGACTACACCGGGGAAGTTGGTGGGTGCAGTGTGCTGTATTTGTGGTGTGTTGGTCATTGCACTCCCCATCCCTATCATTGTCAATAATTTTGCCGAGTTTTACAAGGACCAAATGCGAAGAGAGAAGGCCTTACGAAGGCGAGATGCTCTGGAAAGGGCTAAACGTACCGGGAGCATTGTGTCGGTGCATTCCTTTAATATAAGAGATGTGTATGCAAGAAGTGTGGACCTTTTAGACGTTAACGTGGAGTCTGGCGGTGGCAGGGGGTCATGTGACAACGGACACAACTGTGATGTTGGGACTGTCAACAATGACGGCAAATGCGCAAGCGCACCACAATTCGTGACGAATTCGTCCGAGTCGGCCATTAAATCATCGAATGATCACTGTGATTTGAACAGTCTTCCTGACTATAAATGTGCAACAAATATAATAGAGACAGAGGAGGAAACAGACCCGAGGCTTTCCTCTAATCCAGCTTTACATTCGGAACATCAGGTACTCTTCTTGCAGTCTTTTGCATATTTCTAGTTCGCAATAAAAGCTCACTTTTTAAACAATTTAATGCTAATATACGATTCGATTCTTATTGTACATATGTTTTATGGATTGCTTGCTTGATTTTTACAAGATATTGGTTTTCCTCTTCTGAAATTTGTCATGTTCCAGTCCATTTAATCTTGATTGTTCAGAGTTCAGGTTCTCTTGCTTTTATTCCTTATACCAATGGATAATTGTAAATACAAAACTGCAAAAAGAGTCATGCTATCTATAGTGTGATACACTGTACTTATATATATGTCCCAAAATTGAGAAAATTTTTGTAAGCTAATCACAGGCCGTGGTCTGGGAAACAAAGTAGGTTCTTTGGCTAAACATCACTTTACAGAACTGCAACATAATGCCGTGGAGTTACCAAATTAATTAAGAAAGAACAGATCAATTACATTTACAGTGGACATGGTCGAAGTTGATTTCCTCATGTTTTAAAGAAGAAATCCAATAATAAAACAGACTAGTGGAGAAAATCAATTTTCTCTCAGGGGTTATCTTTTAGATACTTTTTAACGTTTTACACGCAGACCTCCACACCAGCAGAGAAACACAGCTTGAATATTGATCAGCTCTCATTAACGGAGATCTTTATCTCTAAGTCACATGTGAATACATTTAATTATCCTGACTGAAATTATGAAAAAAATGTAGCTTAAAATAATCAGATTTCAAGTGGAAGATATCTAAAGGATAAGATTATGTAATAAAGCAAACAGGCAACAAGATGAAACATATGCACATGGAATCTGCATGTTTAAGATAAACCAAGCTTGTCTCTAGATATCTGCATGACACCTCTCTGAAATCCTTTGCACAGTTTAAATTAAGGGTATATCAATCTGACAACGAAACCACTTTTGCTTTTTCAGACTTTCACCTGAATATGTAATTTGCTAGAAAAAGGCTGCATTTATATTGAGGCTTGAAATTTCAAAAAAAAAATCTTTTTTCATCACGTTAAAAAAAAAATGTTAAAACTTTTCTTTCTTTTGGTGAAATGACTTTTACCTTAATTCCTTCAGGGAAAGCTTGAATACCCATCAACTGCTGAAAATCTCATGCATGCGCGTTGTACCATTGAATTAAAACCGTTAATACGGCAGAGCAGCAACACAAGTACTGACACATTTAATAGCTGTCTGACTCACCCCTCAAGCCCCGGAGGCTCAGGGGCACAGGGTCATCTACAGAACAATTGCAACAGACATAATGTTTACATTAATCCATTGGAGAATTCCAGACTTAGTTCACTTTTTAATTTGACAGACAGTAGTTCTTGTAGCAAGCCGCTGGATTTGAATATAGATTATAAATGTCCCGAGAATGTATTTACAACTGACAGTGACTCTGTTCAAATTGTTCAGAAACTAGAAGATGGATATACTACGACTTGGAATCGCAGTGTTCTTCCAAACAATCAACCAAGTCCTCCACCACGACTTGTCCATCAGAAGAGTTCCGAAGAATCACCGAGAGCACCCGAAAGATCTCTTCTCAAACGTCACAAATCTGAGACGGGTAACCGACAAAGCAAAGTTTCTGGAATCAAGGAACGATCCTACTCGTCTTCGGATAACATTCATGATGAGAGCTCAAGCAAATCAAAAACTGCTAAATTTCGTAAAGCGGTGTCGTTGGCCAGTAGACTTCATTCAAGTCCTTCCACTGGTCGGAAATTAGCTAATTACCATTTAATCGCCAATCCACAATCAGGTATAGTCTTAGAATGACGACGTTCTCTATAAGTATGCATATTTAAGTGAAGGAGCTTAAATGAAAAATGCAAGTGAGCGAAAGGGTATAATAATCATTTTGTTTAAAAAAAAACATGGTAAGAAACCCTCGATTCATTTTTGGATAAATACAGACCCTTTGGAAGGAATGGAAGCGTTCATGAATGATTTTTAGAGAAATTTAATCAAACATTGTACCTGCATGTTTCCTTTGCTGTACAGCGCTCCGGCTTTAGCATTTTCTCTGCATTGTATCTTCACTAACAGCATCTTCATTACAATATGCATATTTATGTTACATGTACTAATGTCAAAAGTATATGTAGTTTGCCATGTTCAAGTATTTGAAAATATCATACATATATTCGTAAATTCACCAAGTTCATGATGATGATTTCAAACAAAAAAATGATAAAAGAAATGAATTTAAATGGAACATATTTTAACTGTTTGATTCCAGACGAGAAATTCCTTCTCTACTAACAAGCAGACGACAGAAGAAAAGAATGTGATGGGTTTCAGGTGTAGTACAGCGTTGGTGTGACCTTTGACCCTACTGTATTCTAGTTCCATGGCTTATCCCTCTGCTTTTCACTTGCTATGTCTGCACTGTACCTGCAATATTTAGTCCTCCAACCAAACCTTAAAAGTACTTTATACTTTAAGAATAATTCGTATAATGAACTTTACAATGGTAAAATTAAATACTCTTTGTTCTTTTAGGGTTTTGATATGATTTTAACTTTAAGTTTCACAGAGCAGCTTTTTATTCCCCTTTCCTTGCCCTACACTTTGGAGGTAAACCCGCAGCATGTGTGGTGCCGTTCTGCAAGAGTAGGATGTTGTCTATATTCGGCTTTTAGTCGTGGTCACACCAGTGTTATGTGCTTTCCTGAAACTCTTTCATGTATTATTACATTGCGATTTTGTCTGTGCCTTATCAATGCTTCATTGTATCAAATGACGTAACTTACACAGCTCAGATTTGCATTGGAATTTTAATTTTTCAATTCTTAGATTTGCAGGATAAATAAAAACTCAAAATTGATTTACAAAAAAAAAAAAAAAAAAAAAAAAAAAAAAAAAAAAAAGAAAGAAAGAAAAGAAAAGCTCGAGCAATTTACAAATCTTTATCCCTATAGAATTTTTTTCCATCTTTAATTCAATCCACGCAAATGATATCAATTTTTGCATTTTGCATATGAGTTCTACTTAGTCTATTGAACAATGATGGACAAAGAAGGTCATGTAATTTTTTGTAGCGCATGTCAAGCTCTGAGAGTCGCTGTCATGTTGGATATTTTGCTTCACCATCCAGTGCTTTATAGTAGACTTGCTTTATTTGCTCTGAAGCCAAGATTTATTTCAATTAAAAATACACCTGTATTAGGACTGTTAACATTTTATTGCACTCGATTATTGTTTGAGTCAGTTTGCTTAGAGCAGATGGATGTTTTTATATGCTTATGTATATGGATACAGTAGATAGTGTTCTTCCAGTACTGTCAGAAGACATAATTGTTTTCGTTTATTTAAGGTAAAACCAGTGAATGTGGAAAACTTCAAAACGGAATAACTACTGATTGTGATACTTGTACTCCATTCGAACCCCCTCAACCAGTGATGAAATCTATACTAAAAAAAGATTATAACGTCACTTCCGGTGATGACACTGAAACGCTTTTACATAATGCGTCAAATGATTGCGACGTATTTCAATGGGAAAATTCTCCAGAAAACCCTTCCAAAAACATTACACCCACGTCATGTTTTCCGGAAAGCGATCTACCTTCAAAAAAGGATAATGGAAATGAAGAAGACATATTTCCGGTGAGAGAAAACAGTGATGCAAAAACACTTCCGCTTTCTTCCTCCTTAAATTCATGTGGAACTCCTCTGACGGATAGGTTTGATGATTATAGTTTATTTGATTCTTCTGAAAATCGTGGTGAAGATGAGCTTGAATTTAGCGATAGTGTAGCGAGTCCCCAGAAAGGAAACTGTTGGAACAGAGATAGTGGGAACTCTTTGCCGTGGCAGAATAACGACACCAGCCCCTCTGACAATTTGGATATCGAGGAGAGCATGATCGGGTCGAACTCACTGGGACGGTCCCCGTCTGATGACAATAGTCTTTCATCTCATAACTTAATGCATATATCCCCTGTAGAAAATAATTCTAATACAGATCCAAAAAAGGATTTACAACAGACTGGCTTTGAATTTTTAACTGAAAGTGATTTAAATGGTCAACGAAAAGACTATCAGGTGGACACACTGTTAAATAATATCGGGCGACTGTCCTCGGACGAAAGCACCGAAATCTATTCCCAAGAAGCCAGTGGATAAGTGTTCATTTGTAAGTGATGTGAATGTGATAATCTTGTTTATAGTCATACCTTACGGATCACTATTTAATATTCTCGATTCTGTTCTTTTTTCAGAATATTGGAAGATAAGCTTCATTCGTTTTCAAAGAGAAGAATAGAACTAAAACTTTGTAATTTTTGCAGTCGATAAAAGAAACATTTTCAGTATTGTTAAAAATTTTCTTACTTAATTTTATTGCACATTCGTTGTTACGAATTTACAATTGCGTCAGTTGCAGGGGAATATTTTCTTTCTTATGTGATTGTTACATTTTAAAGTAATACATGTTATTTGCACTTTCCTGCAGTGTTTGATAGTTTATTGATTATTTGTTGTATAAATTTGTACAACGCCATCTTGTTCCTTCTAGAATTCAGAGCGTGCAAAATGAAATAAAATTGTTCTATTTGTGCGTTTTAATCAGTTTTCTAAATATCAATAGCAGTTGGTCTTATGTTTGGTAACCATTTATCGCCCAATGAGAAGCACGTTAAGTGTTATTTGATTAGAACTTAAAGTGTTCAGATCGTCCCAATTCTAAGACATTCTGTAAGTAGCAGTGTTGGCTCTCATTTCGATCTAAAGAATCGAGATGGCATTTCCTAGAACTTACATAATTAATTCTCCAAGAACTTTCTGATTTTCAATGTAGAGTCCTGAAAGATACTATTTTGGGATCGTATAGCTAAACAGGTTTATGAATTGACAATTATGAGCAAGTGAAAAATTCATTTCAGCTCAATACAAGCAGTAGTTGCTATGAGTATATCAACTTGACAAGCTTATTGCAGAACAGTATACTCTCTGATTGAGAGAATTTAGCTCACCTCAACGAAGTTGGGGAAGCTTACGTGATACCGTCGGGGTCGGCGTCCAAGGTCAAGTTTTTTGGAGCAGATTTCTTTGTAAGTCCTCCTATAGATGCCCTATATTGATTAGATACTAGTATGCATGGAAGATGCTTCTAACAGGGACGTAGCATCCGGGGGGGCCTGGCCCCCCCCACTTTTTTCCCCAACATAACCTTTACTATAGTAAATGTTAATCGATAGGATGGTTGGCCCCCCACTTTATAACCATAGTATAGTGATAGCAAGGATTGTAAGGAAAAAAATTGAAAGTGATAGTAAGTGGGCTTTGAAAAAGTTGGCCACTACCCCCCCCCCCCCCCCCCCCCCCCCCCCCCACGAAATAGGATTTTCGAGTTTGGGCAATTTTTAATTTTCGTTTTTTTTTCTTTTTTTTTTTTTGCTTGTCAACTTTTTCAGGTAAGTAAAAAAAAATTTTTCTCAGGTTGGCCCCCCCCCCCACTTTCAAAAACGATGCTACGTGCCTGTCTAATATGTTTCATGTACCAGTCAAGATTTCAGATGCTGCAATTTCAGCAAAGGAATGACCAGGTTAATGTTTTTGGAGCAGGTTAACATTTTTGATGCAGTTTTTGGTGTAGGTCTCATGTCCAAGGAACTATAAGCCCTATGTTGACCAAACTTGCATGGATGATACATCTAAGGATGCACACTACCAGGGTTGTTTCGGATGCGGAATCTGACCTACATTTTACAGATGAGTGAACAGGTTAATGTTTTTGGTGCAGGTCTCATATCCAAGAAACTATAAGCCTATGTTGACCAAACTTGTATGGATGATACATCTAAGGATGCATACTACCAGGCTTGCTTCGGAGGCTGAATCTGACCTACATTTTCCGGATAAGTGAACAGGTTCAAGTTTTTGGAGAGGTTTTATTTCCAAGTAACTATGAGCCCTATGATGACCAAACTTGCTTGGGTGATACATATAAGGATGCACACTACCAGACTTGCTTCGGATGCTGAATCTGACCTACATTTTACGGATGAGTGAACAGGTTAATGTTTTTGGTGCAGGTCTCATTTCCAAGTAACTATGAGCCCTATGATGACCAAACTTGCATGGATGATACATCTAAGGATGCACATTACCAGACTAGCTTCGGAGGCTGAATCTGACCTATGTTGACCAAACTTGCCAGGATGATACATCTAAGGATGCATACTACCAGGCTTGCTTCGGAGGCTGAATCTGACCTACATTTTCCGGATATGTGAACAGGTTAAGGTTTTTGGTGCAGGGATTATTTCCATGTTACAAGAAGGCCTATAATGACCAAACTTGCCAAGATTGTACATCTAAGGATGCATAATACCATGCTTGCTTCGGATTCTGAATCTGACCTATACTTTCTTAATGAGTGAAAAGATTAGTTTTTATTCAGGTTTCATTTCCACGTAACTATGGGCCCTATGTTGACCAAACTTGCATGGATAATACATCTCAAGATGCACTCTAATGGACTTGCTTCGGATGCTGAATTCGACATACATTTTCCAGATAATGGACCAGGTAAAAGTTATGGGTGCAGGTCTATTACCAAGAAACTATATGGCTTATATTAACCAAACTTGCACAAATTATGCATGAAGGGATGAAAACTCTCAAACTTGCTTCGGATGCTGGATTTGAATTACATTTTCTTGATGGTTGACTGGTTTGAAGTTTTTAGATAGGTCTATTCCACTATTCCAAAGTAACTGCAAGCCATATGAGATCAAAATTGCATAAATTTTGGATGTACACTTCTAGAATGTTGGTTAATTGTGCGACTTGGCCTAACTCAAACACAACATTCGTTGATGTGAGCTCTGTAATCTCTGATTACCTATGTTTACTTCTATTCTCGATACTTCTTAACCATTCATGGTTCGGTATTATAGCAAGACTTTAACATGGACGTAATGCGAATGTTTAAAGCTGATATTCCAGGAGCAAATATGTATGGCACGCCAAATTCACAAAAATGAGCAAATCATAGTTTCACAATCGATAAACTAGGTTTATCGGTTGTAAACTATAGTTTACGGACTGTAAACTATAGTTAACAACGTTAATCTATATTTTACATCCGTAAACCATAGTTAACGCGATAATCTATGTTTCACAACCGTAAACTATACTTAACACTGAAAACAATCATTTGCGATTGCAAAACATAGATTATCTGATAAATAAAGTTTCACGATTTGTAAACTGTAGTTTACAAACCGTTAACTATAGTTAACGATCTGATAAATATAGTTTCACGATTTGTGAAACTATGATTAACAACTCTTAACTATAGTTTACGATTGTAAACTATTATAGTTTGGTATGTTTATCAACAAAATCTATTGTTAACGCTTATTACAGACAGATAAACTTAGATTATCATTCGTAAACTATTGTTAACAACCGTTAAATATAGTTTTACAGATGAAAACTATACTTAACGAATCGTTAACTATACTTAACGAATCGTTAACTATAGTTTACGGTTTGTAAACTATAGTTTACAGTCGATAAACCTAGTTTATCAATTGTGAAACTAGGTTTATCTCATTTTTAGCTCTACTGGTCAGAGACCAGAAGAGCTTATGCGATAGTAATGCGTCCGGCGTCCGTCCGTCTATCTGTCTGTCCGTCTGTAAACAATTTTTCGAAATGCTACTCTTCCTTCAGTTTTGGTCTGATTTCAATTTAATTTGGCACACAAGTAGACTAAACTAAGATACATAATTCTGTGTATCGGTTTTTGATTTCGATGTACGTTGTTGCCATTGTTACTAAAAATAGTAATTTCTGTGAAAATCATTCAAAATGCTACTCCTCCTACAGTTTTGGTCTGATTTCAATATAACTTGGCACACAAGTAGACTATACTAAGATACATAATTCTGTGTATCGGTTTTTGATTTTGATGGGTGGTGTTGCCATTGTTACTAAAAATAGAAATTTTTGTGAAAATCATTCAAAATGCTACTTCTCCTACAGTTTTGGTCTGATTTCAATATCACTCGGCACACAAGTAAACTTTACTAAGAGACATAATTCTGTTTATTGGTTTTTGATTTCGATGAACGGTGTTGCCATTGTTACTAAAAATAGAATTTTAAAAAAATACTTTCAAAATGCTACACCTTCTACAGGTTTGGTCTGATTTTATTATAACTTGGCACACAAGCAGACTACACTAAGATACATAATTCTGTATATCAGTTTTTGATTTCAAAGAACGGTGTTTCCTTTGTTACTAAAAATAGAAATTTCTGTGAAAAACATTCAAAATGCTACTCCTCCTACAGTTTTGGTCTGATTTCAATATAACTTGGCACACAAGTAGACTACACTAAGATACATAATTCTGTATATCGGTTTTTGTCATTATTCTATTTATTGCTTTTGTAAAGTTTTATATCCCAACTACTACTTTTCTCTTTCTTTATTGTAAGTACAAACCAGTAGAGCTACAGTCTCGACAGAGACTTCTGGTTGTGAATTTGGCTTGCCATACATATGGCTTAGTTGCAGAACTATCCGTTTGTGGTTGAGAAAATTCAAACAGACAAAGAGAGTAAAAGATCCTTGAAGCATTGTAAAAACCTTTTATTTACGGCGACGCTTTTTCGTCGCTCGCTTCGGGTATTATTTCTTGTATAATCGTTTCCCGTTACTTCTATTTCTGGGACACTATTTATTTTTCAACGGTTCCAAACAGATCTACGTTGTTTATAGCCTTGGAATGTCAGCTTTAAACATTCACATTCAGGTGTCCATTTTGAAATCTTGCTAGAATAGTATAGAATTATAAAGAATAGGATTGATTGATTGTATATTGTTTAACCTCCCTCTCTAGAATTTTTCACTTATATGGAGACGCCACCACTTGCCAGTGTAGAGCTGCAAATTTTGCCCTATACTCGGCACTTAGGGCCGTTGAGCAGTGAGGGATGTTTTTCGTGCCAGCACCTACTGCGACAAGGGACCTCAGTTTATACGTTCTCATCTGAAGGAACGGTCTCCACGTCCCAGTGGGATTCGAACCCGCGACGTATAAAAGATCGACTCCTTACGTCGCGACTCTTCAGCAATTGCTCTAACCACTGCGCCACGCGGGCGACTACAAAGAATTGGAGTAAAATATTAGTTATGCTTAAAGCGAGGGAAACACATCTCGGTATCCTAGCCTAGCAAAACATGCAGGACTGTTTAACTGGAACCGTTGAAAGGTTAATAAAACATGAAATGATACCCGAAACAAGCGGGAAAAAATTGTCGCCGTAAATCAATCCTTGGATCTGTGGCTCTGGTTTGCCTGTCTAGTTTTTTTTTTCAACCAGAGAGCTTTAGTTCTTCAGTTACAACTACAAATCTGGTAACGTCGTTATAACAATTCAATATACCTGCGGGTATAAGATTAATGCTTAGTTTAAGGATATCCAATCCCTAGCCAGGAACGATAACTCTTCAAATTATTAATTTTAATCAAAATATTTCAAAATTAAGCTCGATATAAAAATTAATCCTTTCGTACAATTTTTTTAAATTCCAAATTCTTAAAACTA